GCTGTAAAGTTACTTAGAGCCTCAAAACAAAAATGTTTTCAGTGGTAAAAAGGGTAAATGCAGGCCCTTTATTTCTCTTTCTCATCCATCAGTTTCCAACAAGCTTTTTTACTTTAGCTTTGCAATAATCTTGCTCCCTGAGTCATGCAAACAAAATTAAGGGTTAGCTTTGATCTAAGCCAGAAAAGCCTCCAGCAAGACATCCTCAATTATGTCTTTGATATCCTACTGGCTGAAAAAGAAAAAGCTTCACAGAGGAGAAAGCATGAGGCAAATTAATTAAACCTCCCCCATCAAGTTGCTCCGATTTCCTGAAAGCACTAATAGCAGAACTATGACCATGCAGACAGCAAATGATCGAGTAAGAAATGGCACTGAAAATCTATCAACTCTCACAACCGTAAACAAGAACTGCAGGGATCTGACACCCACACCAAAGGGAAGCAAGTGGCTGTACCTAAACCTAACATTGCCTTTCATTTCTGTGAAAAACCTTTTAAAAAGTTACCTGGATTTCTAAAACATGTTTAAGCACAGGGGCAGCAGGAGCAACGTCTCCTTCAGGAAGAGGAATATCAGCTTTTTTAATTTCTTGCACTAAATATCCTGGAGTAGAGAACAGACACAGAATTAAAGGGGCTTATATTATTTTACACTTGTCAAAACATATTACCTAAGCAACTCATTTAGGGGTTCAATCCTGAACGCCTCCTGGACACCCTCCACTCACACTGATCTTCAGTCATAACTGGAGGTGCTGAGTGTTTTGCAAGATCTGACACATGACAACTTATTCATGTCTAACTCATATGAAGGTTTCTAGGTACAGGGGATCTTCAAAACATGATACAAAAGAGGTTTTCTTTGCTACAAGGCAGGGGTAGAACAAGTGTTTGGGGGATTAACAAACTGCTGTCATTAAGGCTACTTTCCTTAAGAGACTAAAATAGATTTCCCTAAATACATACATACATACATATATAGACACACTTTCACATTATTTGTTTATATACACTTAATATGCTTATCTTGTATCCAAAGAAATCTATCCTGGAAAGGTCCAAGCTCCATTTTCCTACTCAGAATTATACTGACACTGGATGAACAGTTTATCGGGAACATGGTGGTTCAGCACATCTTCTCAAACTCTAAGGTATTTTTTAAATCAGTGGTTTTCAACCTGTGGTCCGTGGACTCCTGGGGGTCTGCAGACTGTTTACGGGCTCCATGAAGGATAACTACAATCAAAAGTATGTGACTACCCACACGTACAATTCAAAGGGGCCCACGCCTCCATTAGAAATTTCCAAAGGGGCCCGCAAATGAAAAAAAAAGATTGAAAACCACTGTTTTAAATAGTTACCTAACACTAATCCAGTGCCTCATTAGCCTCGTTTCTCAGTTGAAGAAAAACAAAAACAAAAGTTAACTGACATACTGCAAGTCTCAATGTATGTCTGGAGCAGAATAAAGAAAGGATCCATTTCTTCTCTCAGTTCAGTCCTATTTATGGAGCCACCCTAGCTGACAATTTACTAACCATCATAAATACGGAAACATGTAAGGAAGGGAGAGTCTCATTAGATTTTGCAGTGCTCAGAATCACCATTGGGCAGAATATAAAAACCACAGATAAGATCTCCACTGCAGCAATACTCCAATTATGAAATCTCTAACTAGCAGAAGAGCTAAGACAAAATTAAAGTCAGGAAAACATTAACACGAACAAAGCTTACCAAGTATCCTTTCCATTTCCTCACATTTCTTCACTTCACTCACAAATTTTCTCTGAAATGCACTTACATTTGGATTGAGCTGCGGATGAAAAAGAAAAACACTAATTAAATATTTCACACAGCAGTAGATCTCCAGAACACAAATGGTTCATTGACTTAAGAACACTTCTCCCCGGCAACGTGACATCTGTGAGTAGTCCCAGCGTGCTCGGTGACATATGCAGCTCAGGACCTCAGTGCCAAGAGCAGTCTTTCATTTGACGTTTGTTGCTGCGCTACTAAAACCAGGCAGCCGGGAATCAGAACCACGCCTGTCCTGGACAAAAGCTCTCTCTTTACAGCAGTTGCTTCTTCGCAGTTAGGGGGCCGCTGACAGACAGTCTTCATACAACTGTCCTAACTTTTGTTATAACAACAAACATTATTATAACAAAACAAAATCAATCGTCTCATTTCCATCACGTTATAAAATTAATTAAATCCTATGGAGCAACCATTCCAATTTTTTTGGTTAATTTACTATTTTTACAACTGAAAATTAACAGTGCAAATACAGGGTTCAATTATCCCTTGCTGCAGTGAATGGGAATATTGCCATTGATTGCAAAGGTGTCCGATACACAATTTGAAAATGAATCCAAGGACAGTAAAAGCTCTGCTATCCGGCATCCCCTTGGGAATGGGGGATGCCAGTTAATCAAATAGGTACCCTGCAGTGCACTCCCTGGCGTCAGTGTGCCAGGGGACAGGGAGGGGGCCCCGCACAGGCTGCTTTGCCCCGGGCCACAGTCCACAAGGAAAAAGTAAAGAAGAAGGACTCGGCTCACAGCAGCAAAACTGGAAATGGGGCTTCTGGTTTTGCTTTTGCCGCATCCCTCGGAAGGAAGATTTGTATTGACAGATGCCAGTTAGTGGAGCTTTCCAGCTGCAAAGTGCCGGACAACGCGGCTTTGGCTGCAGAAAGCACACTGATCACTGTGCAGTTAGACCCCTCTCAGCATCACAGGGAGCACGCCCTGCCTTTATGAATGCATATTCAACTACCAGGACAGAATCAGGATTTGCATATGAGCCGCTGGAAAGCATTCCTTTAAAATATTGCCCTTTCTTTGCTCCACTAAAACATAAAGGGCCTGATGATACAACCCTAAACCACACGAGAATCCTTTCAGGATTAATCCCCTTTGGCTTCCCTGGCTCTACGCACAGAACAAAGGTTTGCCGTACAAAGGCACCTGGAAGACTGGACATTAGCAGCTTTAAATGCAGGGTTAGTCTGGTTGCTCAGATGCTCACAGGTGAGCCCCCTTTGAAAGTCAGTGAGCAAAGATCGATCAAACCAGCCTAAGAAACACCATCCCTCCTGCCCGCTGGCATGGGCTGGGCCGGTAGCACCGTGCCCTGCGGTGAAAGGAGCTACCCCGACACCACTACGTGCAGATGTCAAGCGGCCATTTGGCTTCCCCTACGAGGATGAGCGCTGGGGCTCTCCGAGGCAGCGCTGCTTTACAGCCACGCGTGCACGTCCACGGGGAAACACCATGTATCTGGGTCTATGACGGCAGTTTTTCTTAAGCGTTCCCAGGGACAACTGTTCTTCTGGCGTGGTTTAGCACCCGCCGAGGTGTTGGAGGTTAAGGCCCACTTGATGGAAATGAGAGGCTCCTCGCTAGCTTGCTTTTGCGGCCGTATTTTCATAGAGTCATAGTTGCCAGGGGCTGAAAGGGACCTCGCAGATCATCGGGTCCAGCTCCCTGCTCTCGGCAGGAAGACGACTGGGGACAAGCGACCCGGGCGAGGCGACCGTCCAGTCTCCTCTTGCAAAACCTCCAGGGTAGGCGACCGCAGCACCTCCGGAGGGAGTTTATCCCACAGTCTGGACGCCCGACTGTGATGGAGTATTTCCTGGTATTAAGACTGGAGCGGCCCTCCAGCGGTTTGTATCCGTTGGAGTTTATATCCATCCGCATGGCGGAAGGAGGGCAGGCGAAACTTGGGGACATCCAAACCCCAAGCCCCCGGGCACACAGGCTGCCCGCCAAAAGACTGTGGAAATATCTGAAGCCCGTGATGGGGGTGGGGGATGTCAGAGCCACCTCCGGTTAGGACAGACCCACCGATTTGGACTTGACTGGGCTGGGAACACGAAACATTTCTTTAAAAATAATAATAAATGTCCACATCCGTCACCGAGACCCCTCTCCACCCCCGCGCCCGGGCAGGAGGCGTGACTGTGGCACCCGGCCTGCGACGGACCGACACCGGCCATAACGACAGGACACGGCTCCCCGCGGTCCCCCGGGGGGGAGGCTCCGTTTATTGCGCAGTGTGACGTGCACGAGGGCGGGGCCCCGCTGAGGGGGCTCGGGGCCGGGGGCGGCGG